TTCACCACACAATCAATCTGAGTCACTTTCTTCAAGATCAGAGTTTGAATCTGAGCCTCGCTCACATTCTCCACTTCTCTTTTGGACTTGGGTTGTTAAACCCAGCATCACGGCCACCACTGCTTTCTGTCACCCTGCTCCTAGTCTTGGCCCTTTGGGCCCCTTTAAAACCAACATTATAATTTCAAAGCATAGAAAAATATGGGGGAATTTTCTTTTTTGGTCTGCATTTCCTACTTGGTTATATTTGTGGTTTCATATTTTTTTTCTTTACTTGAAGGAAAAACTATTCCTGAAGTTAATCAGCTTCTTTAGGAAGTTTCTCACCTATAGCCCCCGAAGTGTGGGAACCATGAGTAGGTCACATCAATCCCTGATGGCTTTCAAATGTCTATGATCTACTTAGGAAGTTTGGCCGTTTCTTTTCACTTCTTAGACAAGGAAAGCACAGTTATATTCTCATTGCAAAAATTCAAATGGTATTTAGAAAAACAGGGTTAAAAAAAAAAGAAGGTGGAAGTCTTTCAACAACCCCTAATTCCTAAATTTAGTTCCCTTCCCAAGGGAATCACCATGTGAGGTGTGAACCTTCCGGAATGTTACCTGTGGATTTCCGGGCACACAGTAGGCGCATCCCAGTTATGAGGTTTTACATAGAGTTAATCACCCTGTACGTACTCGGTAGCTTTCTTCATATAAGTTTGTTTTGGAGATCTTCCCATGTGAGTTCCCTAATGGTGGACATTTAGGTTGTTTCTAATTATTTGCTCTTACAAACAGTGCTATAATTAACATCCTTGTAAATGTCTCTTTGTGCATATGGGCAAGCATTTCTTTAGGGTAGCTATCTATGGTTTGGCAATTTCTGCTGTCTTTAATTGCATTGCCTGGTATCTGGCAGACGATCTTCTGCATGTACAATAACTTTTCATGTCCGTGCTCCATTATAGTGTAAGTTCTAAAAAGATGTTTTAGGCAACAATTAGGAATCTAAGTTTAAGTTCAGATTCTGTGCAGACTGCTATGGGTAGCTGAGGTGACACTTGAATGAACCTCTACACGTGGCCAAGTTTACACATGCACGGGCTGCGGGTAAGGGCTTCCGCTCCCTCCACCCCGACGTCCGTTGTAAGGCACCTCATGACTTCTAAACCATTATAATGTGAGGAAATGCCTCTTAGAACCAAAGAGTGAAGATATTTTGTTGTCCCCAAAGGAAAAGCCCAATAGCCCACGGCTTCCCCTTTGTGTTTGAATGGTCCTGTCCTGGGAGTTGCAGTAACTGCTTTACCGAAAACTTGTTTCCCCCACGGGTGGGCATGTTTCTGGACTCCTAACCCTGTCAGTCCGTGCCACCGTTCCTGTGGTAGATCAGGGGGTAGGCTCCCCCGCTGTCTCCTTTTGGAGGACTTTTTTTTTGCACATTTGTCTTTCTGTCTACTGCTCTCTCTTCTTCCCTGCACTGTCCCTTTTACACAGGGTGCTTCATTAGCTGTTCGCAATCTGCATGATTTTGCATCACGATGGGTCTGATGTGAGAACATCTGCAGCAGTCAAGAGCATATTTTCCTCAGGACTTGACACTGAGCTTGCCATCAGTGTGAAGCGATCTCCCTCTCTCTCCCTCTCTCATCTTGTGACATCTCTCAGCAGAGCTTCTCCAACATCAGTTATGCCTGAGTCTTGAATGGCGTCAATCCGAGTTGAAAATGTGCCAGCTTTCTTAACATGATCACTAACAGACTGCTTAATTAACCTGCTGATACTGTCAATAATAGATCTTGCTGGTGTGCTAGAAAGGAGACCCATGGCCCATGGCTGGTCTCTATTTCTCTCTCTTTTTTGTTTGCTTCGGCTCTCAGTGCTCGTGACTTGGGAGCTGGACTTGCCAGGAGTGGGATAGGAGGGATCAGGGAGCCTCAAATGGAATACGGCAGAAATGAATGCTCTGGATGAGATCACAGAAATGAAATCACTGAGACCGTCTCGTGTTCTCATTGCTCAAAGACGGGGATAGCTGGTCACCTGTGCATACAGCAGGTGCTCAATAAAATGGACCGCCAGTGTAGGTCCAACAGAATATACTGCAGGGCATGTGCCATTTGAGTAGTCAGGAAGAACTGTGGGCGTTCTGAGGGAGGGAGCTGGGGGTGCCATCATTTTAGGGTGGTTTTTTAGGATTTTCTCTGTCTTTTTTCCATCCAGGTAGCTTAGAGGAGGAGAGGGCTTACTCGTGCCTGAACTGTCTTGGAGGGGCTGAGGGGAAGGACATTGGGTTTTCACTTCTTTTCCTGCTGTGTGTTTCATCCCAAGTGGTTTTGTGTTTGAACCAAAGTCCTACTCCATCTGCTGTGGCTACATTCTACACTGGAAAGGGCAGAGAGCGAGCAAGATGCCACCATGAGTCTGGGACTGGTGAACCACCGCTTCTAAATAATCTCTTCTTTGTCCCCTGCACCTGTGCCCACATGGGCATGCCTTGGGGCTAGAGATGTTTCAGCTGTCCCTGGCTTTCCTATCCTGGTGGGGGCTTGGGTGCAGAAGCTGACGTTCCATGTGAGCTCAGCCAGTGCCCAGAGATTCCATAGTGATGCTAAATGCAGCAGGTCCTTTTATAACCAGGGAAGCCTGGTAAGGGTGGTGGCATAGGGTCACAGAATGAGCTGGTGGCTCCTGACTTCAGGCGGATTCTCACCACCTGGACCACATTCCTTTAGCTTTGCCTCTCCCGCAGCGGCAGTGCTGGTGTGGTAGTGATGTAAGCGGTTCTCAGAGGTTAGAAAAGCCCAGTATCTTCTCCGGTGGTTTTGTTGGATCTCCTGGGAACCACGGGCCTGGCCGCCCTAGAGGCGTGAGGGGTGCAGAGTGGTCCTGCTGCCACTAGAGGGCGAGGCGCTAACACTCGGCCAGGTGTCCACTTCCCAAGGCCACTCTGGGGGCCATTCTGGGCCCTAACCCCTGGGCTGGCAGCACCCAGGGCCCACAGGAGCTCACCCCTGAGAATGAGAAGGGCAAGATTCAGAGCCAGGACTGTCACTCAAGCCCCATTGGCCCCAAATCCAGGCTCCCAACCTCTCCTTCCTTACCTCCAATTCACCTTCCCTCTTATGTCTGTCTCTATGGAAGACGAGGGTTTCTCAATGTCAGCACTACTTGCATTTCGGACCAGATAACTCTTTGTGGTGGGGGCTGTGCCCTGTAGGATGGTGAGCCGCACCTCTGGTCTCTCCGCCATAGATGACCGTAGCCACCCCCACCCCAGGTCGGGATCATCAAAAACGTCTCCAAACCTTGCCAGATGTCTCCTGAGCTCGCCCCTGGCTGTGTGAGGCAGGTGAGCGATGCTGCTGGGAGGACAGGAGGGACCGGCTGCAGGAGAGGTCTGCCCATGGTTACCACTGCGGCTGAGTGTCGTGTGGAAACACAGGAGCTACTCAAGGACGGCATATGTGCTGTAAATACATTTTAGAGCTGTATTCGGTTTCCTGCTTTGCTTCTCCAAAGACTGCAGAACATCTTGGCCCTCCTCTCTGTTTATTCCACCTCCCCACCGTACTGAAACGGGAGCCTGAGGCTCAGAGACCCTCAGGGCCGCAAGCCGCCCCTCACCTGCGGCACCCCGTCCCCCAGCTGCAGGCACCCTCGCCGCCTGCTCCCCAGCCTTGGCTCGGGCACCAGGAGCATCTGCAGTCCTCCTCCCACTCCACCTGCCCACTAGGCCCGGCAGCCCCGCAGCTCCCCAAACCCTCGTGCCCCCCCACTGGAGGGAGTGGGGAAGCAGCAGGTGTTGATGCTAATCAGCGTTCACAGCCCAGAACTGCAGTCGCTCCCAGGCTCACACACTCCCCAAAATTAAACACTCATTATACAAAATTAATTGACATTAATTAGCAAAAATTAAAACTTTAAACACAGCAAGGCGCTTTGGGGGGAGGAGTGAAGCAGGCGGCCTCCACATTTGTCACCCCCCCACTCCCCACCCACCCACCACCCTCAAGTCCCCCCACTTTTAGCCTGGAGCTGGGTTGGGGGAGGTCAAGCTAGGTCAGCCCCAGCCCGGCCCTGCGAGTTCCAGTTGAGAGGAGCAGAGGGAGACTCCTGGGGATGGCCACCAGCTGACATGCGACCCCCAAGCTCTGGCATCCATCGTTTAACTGAGGAGCCAGGAGCCCCCCTCCCCCCGCCCCCTGCCTCAGCCCAGGTCTGTCATGATCTCGTTGCCCAGGGACGGAACCCAGCCATCTGAAGTGACACTGTGGAAGGCTGGCCTTTATCTCTGCCTGACCTCCCTCCCCGGACCCTCCTGTCTCCTGGGTCCACAGAGGTTTAGTTCTGTCCCACTTTGCTGTGTGACCTCAGATAAGTCACCCGCCTCCCCTGAGCCTCACTTTTCCTTCCATATGATGAGGGGGCGGTGCTGGGAGAGCACTAAGGTTCCTGCCTGCTCCAACACCTGCTTTCAGAGAAGCAAATCTCTGGGGACTTGGTTCTCTCTGAGGAGCAAAGGGCTGAATGGGGGTGGGTGGGGGATGGGAGGGGCTCCTCAGGAAAAGACCCAGAAAGGCAGCCCCAGGGACGGATTTGCTGATGACAGAACATGTGGCACTGGCAGAGTGTCTTCAAGCCAGGGAGCCCTTGCTGATGGACGTTCACTTTGCCTGCCTGCCAGGCCCACCCCTGGGGAAAGGCAGGCAGCTCCCTTGAAAACTGGTCGCTCTCTAGCTCCTGAACCTTGTCCCCTTCCTCCCTCCCACTGGTTATTTTCTGCCTTAGCTCACCAGGTTCTCAAGGGCCCCCGAGTCCCTCAGCAGGCTAAGGGAGGGCAATGAGCTGCAGAACCATACCTTCACCCCTTGTGTCCGAACGCAGACACGACACTTCCTTGGGACTGTTGCTGCTAGGGGCCGAGAGGCTTGGGTGCAGCCTAGTGACTTTCTCCGCCAGCTAGAGCGGCCTTCTCCCCTCTCACTCCTGCCCCCTGCTCCCCTCTCTCTCTCCAGCCAGTGCCAACATCTGCAACGTGGTCCTGATGCGGTATGGGGAGCTGGAGGAAGGCATTGATGTCCTGGATGGCGATGGCAACCTCGTGGGCTCCTCCAAGATTGCAGCCAGACACGTGGGTCATCTGGGGGGCTTGGGGCACTGGTGGGGAGGCCAGAGACTGGGAGAGGGGTTCGTTCCTCTGGGGCTTCTCTGTGTCCTCTGGATCTGCTCTCCTTGACCCACCCTGCCTCTCATCTGCATCAGCCCTGGGCCTCCAGGTCTGGCCCCAGCCACGCCTGTCCCCACATGGTCCCTCCTCCCCATCCATCATTACTGCTGCAAGACACCCCATCTCTTGTCCTAGCCCCTCAGCACCTGGCTTCTCAGATCTGTTAATTGGAAAGGGCAGAGGAGATGCCCTAGAGCTTTCTTTCCCCCCACCCCGGGACCCAGGGTGCTGCTCCCTGGGCCTTCATGTCCTCCCAGGCCAGAAGAGAAGGCATAGATGCAGGTGGCTCACCATTCTGGGCTACCAGGGTCTTCTGCAGGTGCTGCCTCACAAGGGACCCCGTGTGGCTGAGGTGGGGGTCTGGGGAAGAACAGCTCACTGCAGGAAGGCCCTCTCCCACCTCTCATTTCACTGGCCTCACCCACTCCGCCAACTGTAATTTCTTTAGAAAATTCTAGCACTTTTGTCTTTTCCCCCATGCTTTCCCGGCCTTTGCCCCAGTGGTGGTGACTGGCTTGTCTTTCTCTGGCCTCTGAGAGAGGGCATGGGGGTCAGACATGAGTAGCTGAGCATTCACCGCTGCCCCGGCCACTACCCCTCATTGGCTCCAGCGATGGTCCCCAAGCCTCACCTGTCAGCGAGACCTTCTCTCTAATCCCCTACTCGGGGAAGACCCTTCTCTTGTCCCAGTGCTCCCCTCCCCAGTGGTCTCAGAGAAAGTAAGTGCCCATCCAAGGCTTGGGAGGGGCAGAGGGCTCGGTGGCCCCAGGGCTTGTGCTGCACCCTCTGCTTCCTTGTGCTGGCTCTGGACACCCCCATCATTCCCATACCTGTCTAGGAGATTGGAGGGACCTTCCCCCAGGCCTTCCAGAGGCTGATCATGAAGGACTCAGGTTCCTGAGAGAAATTTTCTGCCCTAAACCACTCCATCCTTGAAGGGGATTTGGCCTCAGTTTCCTACCCAACCCCAACCCCCATCCAACCCTAGTGCTGCCCCTGATGTGCTAAGAAGGAGGCCAGCCATGGTAACTCTCTTCATGGTGCAAACAACAGGGAACCCCAGGCTCTTCTTCAGCCCTGGGCTCCCCTCAGCTTTGCCAGGTGAGCCCCTTGTGGTCTGGGAGCTATGAGCTATTCCTTGAGTCTGCTCTGAGGGCCAGGAGCCCATGGCCTTGAAGGAACTCCCCACAGTGACCATCAGGGTGCAGACCAGCCTCTAAGCTGTGCCTTGACCCTGCCCCCACTCCCCAGGAATCCCGAGGGAACTCCCAGAGCAAGGACCCCAGCAACCCCACATGGAGACACAGCAAACATTCAGCACAAGCATTTCCTGCTTACAAAGCTGACCTCTTGTCACTGAGAAAGGAGCCAGGAGATGCAAGATCCTCCAAATCGTTGTGTTTAAGGGGTGTCAAGAAGGGGAGAAAAAAAAAGTCAATCCCAGAATCTCTGTCCTCCTTCAGCACCAAGAGACTCACGCGGCTCAGCCAGTCCCAGCTGTTTGTTCCGGTCCTCCCAGCGCCTGCTTTGTTCTTAGAGCATCTCGAGTCCTCCATATGCTTCCTCCTCAGCCCCTGAGCCTGCCACCTGGGCATGCCCCCTGGGCACAGGCCCCCTTCCCGGGGCTGCTTCTGTATTGCCACCCCTCCCCAACACGTGGCAGGTGACACGGATCTGCTCTTTTCAAACCTGCGCGGTGGGAAGATGGGGGTGGCTCTCCTCTGGTGTTTGGAATCAGGCTTCGTGAGCAGCTCCCTGAATCATCCCATCCCGCCAGATGTGCTTAGCAGCGGCACACACACCTAGGGGGCTCCAGACAGGGCTTCACTGCCAGGTGGCCGTCCCCCACTCCGGGGAGCTCTGCTCACCACAGCCTCTGCTTGCCCCTCAGGCCCTGCTGGAGACGGCGCTGACGCGAGTGGTCCTCCCCATGCCCATCCTGGTGCTCCCCCCGATCGTCATGTCCATGCTGGAGAAGTGAGTTGGGGCAGCCAGGAGAGAGGGGCCGTCCCTGGGGAGGAGGGTGAGAGGGAACTGGAACCAGCTAGCCCAGGGCAGGGGACGGGAGCAGCTGGCAGCCCGCCCTGCCCGAGTTCGTTCAGACACTCCCCGGCAGTGCCGCTGGAACTGGGAAGTAGGAGGATTATGGCAGGAAGACCAGATTTGGGTTAGGACCACACTGTTCAGACATCCCACCACAAGGCAACTCACCAGTTTCTCCTTTATAACAGTTT